TATATATATATATATATATATATTTTTATATTTATAATTTTTATTTACCTTTTAATAATATTTTTATATTTATAATATATAATATATATAATATACTATATTTTATATATTTATATAATGATTTTCAAAAAATATACAAATAAAATAAACCTTCATTGGAAGAATAATAAGTTTCACATGTATCGTTTTGCACATTATTATATAATTTATAAAAAAAAAATATATATATATATATATATATAAGGAAAACACCTATTTCTATTTTCTTTATTAGTTATTTTTTTAAATAGTGTGTATGTAATTATTTATATAATTGGTCATATATAATTGCTAATAATTAATTATTACACATAATTATATCTTACAATACACATATAAATATAAATAAAAATAAAAATAACCTATTTCTCCATTTTCTTTATGAATATTTTTTCTTTCTTATTAATTTTTTTATTTTGTTGTTTTTTATTTTGTTTTGTTTTGTTTTTCAGAATCCAGTAGCAACGTCATTCGAAATATTTTGGATGATATTCGAGCCAATATTATTTGGTATAACTGGTACTCAAATAAGGATCGACGAATTAAAAGGAAAAACCGTATACCTTGGGATAGGTTGTTTATTGGCCGGTATAATAATACGAATAATCGTAACGATAATCGTAGGTATAGGTTGTAAATTAAATACCAAAGAAAAAGTTTTTATCGCATTATCTTGGATGGCTAAGGCAACAGTACAAGCAGCCTTAGGACCAGTTACCCTTGACGAGGTTAATCAAGACGTTCCTGAACAAGTTGAATATGCCAACATCGTATTGACCATTTGCGTTCTTTCGATATTATTAACGGCACCGGCTGGTGCAATAATCATATCATTGTCTGGACCTAAATTATTAACCAAAACTACGACCCCGAGTGTACCACCGGATGCTTGGAAAACTAGGAGACCATCGATAAGGGATATTTCTATAATAAACGAGGATCCTGATCTCGAGGAAACTGAGAACGATAGGAAACCTTGATTAATTTTTTTTTTTTTTTATTATCTTCTTCTTCTTCTTCTTCTTCTTCTTCTTCTTCTTTTTCTTCTTCATTTTTATCTTCTTCTTTCTTTTTTTTTTTTTTTCTTCTAACGTTATATTTTCTCTTTTATTATACCTAGCACTTTTTTTCTTTTGGTTTTTTTTTTTTTTTTTGGTTTTAGTATATAGTCGTCCTTTTTATCGTTTTTGTCTATTACTTACTTACTTAGGTCGTTAAACCTTTTCATCTAATTTACCTCTTACTCATCATCATCAACTACCCACCCACACCCCTTTTATCTTTTTGATGACAACAGGAAAATAAGATTTTTCTTTTTTTTTTGCTTCGTACTATATATATATATATATTTATTTGACCTAACGTCATCAATATTTCTTTATTCTCATTAGTTTTTTTTTTCTTTTCTTTTCTTTTCTTTTATTATCATGATCAAAGGTAAAAAGGGATGATATGTAGTTTAGTTAGTATCTTACTTTAAGTATTTTTTCTAAAGGTTTTTTTTTTCTTCTGATAAGATTACTTATGATTAAAAAAAGTAATAGAAAAGGGTAAGACATAAAAATATATTATACATAAATGAACAAAATTAATTTTTCTTCGTATAAGATGATTATTTCGTAGAAAAATATATTTTTTTTAATTATTTTTGACTCGTTTGTTTTTTTTTTTACTTTTTTTTTTATTATTATTATTCCTAAAGAAACAGAAAAAACTATACGATATACAGATAACGATAATAAGTTTAATTATTTTTTTTTTTTTATCAAACCAAACAGATCTAATTTCTTAAAAGTTATGCTTAGAAAAAAAAAAAATAATAAAAAAATACGCGTTAAGGATTAAACAATAAAATTACATCAATTTGACAAGACGATATATATATATATATATATAAATTATGATTAGATGAAATTTTAGAAATAAGATGAGACTAGGAAAGATAATGTAAATATTATACTTTACCTAATTAAAATAATAATAATAATAATAATAATAATAATAATAATAATAATAATAATAATAATTTTAGAAATGATTTTTTGTTAAATCTAAATAATTAGATATTAAATTACACACACGTATGTATGATTTTTAATTTTGTTTACAATATTTTATCAGCTGTAGCACGTAGATTTTTTGTACATATTTTATTTTAACTGCTAACGTGCCTTATCACACTAATTCGAATTACAGATAAATAAGATTTTATTAAATAATAATATTAATTATTATTTTAATTATAATATAAATAAGTAGAATTTGAGAAGAACATCTTGTTACACAATTTATTTAAAAAATAATTAAAAAAAAAAAAAAAACGAAATATTATACTCGTATTTTTTTTTTTTTTTTTCCCCATCAAATGGAATTTGGAATCGTGTTTAATATTTTATGAAAAATAAAAACAATTATTTCAATGATAAAATGAAATATTTTGTTTACCATTCAAAGAAAAAAAATAAAAAAAAATAAAAAAAAAAAACAAGAAAAACATTCTTCTCAAATTCATACGTTTATAATAAATAAAAAAAAATTAAAAAAAAAAAATCGATTAACATTGTATTATAAAATTAATATACAATTATTACTTTAATTATAAATATTACATTTATTTATAAGTATATAATAAAAAGCGTTTTACTTTTACGAGATACATATATGTATATCATTTCGTATTATATATATATATAAAGAAAAAAAAATATAATATAAAAAATATTTGATCGAGATAAAGAAAAGATTGATCCAAATCTTTGGAAAGAAAATGATTTTTTGGTTTATTTTTCTATTCCTCTTTTTCCTTATACTTTGTCCTGTTTCCAAAATAAAAAAAAAATAAAAAAAATAAAAAAGAAAGATAGATAGAAAAGAAAGAAACGATACACTCTCTATGATAGATAAAATAAAATTAAAAAAATAAGGAAAAAAATAAAAAAGAAAGAAACAGAAAAATGTATCGAAGAAACAGGAAAATTAGTGGGGCTGTTGCTTGGTTGTGGCACACACAACAACTTTTTGAAACCGTACTATTATTCCACCGGTAACTACTTCGGAAGTTCAAAGATGAGAATCTACGAACGAAGCTTATCAAATTGTGCTGCCGAAGATATCATATCTATTTTTTTATTTCTTTTTTTTTTTCTTCTTTGAAAGAGAAAGAGAGAGAGAGAGAGAAATCCAGAAACTACAAATTGTACGTATCTACTGAACGTACAAATGAGTGCAGTTGAAAAATATTCAAAAACAAAATAAAATAAAATAAAATAATATAATTATAAAAGTACAATAACCATATATATATATAAGTACATATACATAGAAATAAAATAGAATAAAATAATACAATTACAAATTACAATGTATTATATTATAAAATATTAATTACAATATATAATATAGTAAAATTATATATATAATAATATATATAATTAATATATATAATATATATAAATAAATATATATATATAATATATAATATATAATATTAGTAGTATATATATAGTATTTAATATAATATATAATATTATAATATAATTATATAAAAACAACTATATATATATATAAT